TTAACCTCCAGGATCCCCATCTATGATCGTCATAGGTATTGCATTACATTTAGGCCATCTAATTCAGGTCTCCAAAGAAAGTCCGGACCATTTAGCCATCTCTCTCTACGTATGGAGTCATTCACCTTGAGACCTCTGGAAGCGTCATCTGCTGGGTTGGACTTTGTGTCCACGTACCTCCATTGTGACATCTGTGAGCCCTCTCTAATGGTGTTAACACGATTAGCTACAAAGGTATGAAAGCGGGTACTTTCATTTGCACAGTAGCGAATGACGGACATGCTGTCTGTCCAGAAGAATGTTTCACTGAATTTGAAGTCTAGCTCTCTCTGTATCATTCTATTCATGCATACCGAAATAGTGGCTGCAGACAGTTCCATGCGAGGGATAGTTACTTTCTTCAGCGGTGCAACCCTAGACTTACCAACCAAGAGGGCACAATGAATCTTTCCTATCTCATTTACTAGGCGTAGATATGACACAGTGCCATAGCCAAGCTCGCTGGCATCCGAGAAGTTGTGGATCTGGCAGGACATTATCTTACCAAAACTTGCAGACTTGAAACACCTTGGTACTGAGATTGTCTCCAGCTGTGGCAGGTCTGCTACCCATCTGTGCCATTTCTGCAGGTCTTTAGGTCCAATATCATCATCCCACCCAATACCACGATGACACAAGTTTTGTATGATGATCTTGCCAGGTAATACAAAAGGAGCAGCTAGTCCTATAGGATCGTAAATAGAGCTTATTACTGACAATATACCTCGTCTTGTAGATGGACGCTCTTGAATGTCTATCCCAAATCCTAGCGTATCAGATTCAACATTCCAATACACACCAAGAGCACGCTGGGTGGGGAGATCATCGTAACTCAAATTCAACTGCTTCACATTTTTAGCTTGACTGTCTACAGGAATTGATTTCAAGACCGTATGACTGTTGGTAATCCACTTGGTTAAGTTGAATCCTCCTTTGTGGCAGATACTTATCAGGTCTTGTACAACGGATATTGCCTTAGTCTCGGTATCACAGGATTTGAGGCAGTCATCTACGTAAAAGTTCTTTAGAACAGTATCAATGATTTCCGGCTTGAATTCATCCTTATTAGCTGTAGCAGTCTTGCGTAGCGCTGTATTCGAACAGCTTGGTGACGATACTGCACCAAATAAATGAACCATCATTTTATATACTTCAGGTTTTCTATCAAGTTCGCCATTTGGCCACCAATAAAAACGCAGACAGTCGCTGTCATGTATTGGGACCTTTACTTGATGAAACATAGCCTCTACGTCTGCCATAAGAGCTACTGGTTCTTGCCTGAACCGCAAAAGAACACCAAATAGGTTGTTAGTCAGATCAGGTCCTTGTAGTAACAAGTCGTTTAAGGATACACCGCACCATTTCGCAGAACAATCGATGACTACTCGTATCTTGTATGGTTTCATAGGGTGGTATACCCCATGGTGAGGTATATACCAGACTCTACCGTCATCTCTATCAAGCACCTCCTGCGGAACCTGAACAGCATAATGCTTTTGAATAATATCCGACATAAACTTTGTGTAGTCAGCATGAAACTTGGGTTCTTTCCTTATTCTCCTTTCAAGTCCTTTAAGTCTCTGCATGGCATAGTCTTTATTATTAGGTAGCCTTGCATCGTCCTTACGAAATGGCAAACCAATCTCATAGTGTCCATCCACATAGCGCATAGAGCTATCTACTTTCTCAATAAACGCTTTGTCCTCTTGAGAGTGTTCTCTCCTATCGTTGATAGAGTGTTCTGGAAAGTCCATGATGATAGAGCTTCTGACCAATATATCTAACTGCCTTAGTTCCTCTATCTCTTGTATGGCAATGATTTCAGCTTTATTGACAGTCAAACTATTTTGAACTGTGTCAATCTTATTGTCACCTTCACCACGGACAACATTCCATGCCACCCATCCCAAGAGAGTTCTTGAAGCATGAGGACTCCCACGTGGTCCTGTCAATATTTCTAGTGGAGTATATGCATCGGGTACTCCATTTCCAATAAGTAATCCCACATCCGCGTTCACCTTAGGCAGATCCAGGGCACACATATGTGGCCATTTAGTAACATCTTCTGTAGTAGGCATGTGGTGGCGCGAAACAGGCATTTTGTGTTTAGTGTAGACTTTTGGTAGCTTCACTGTGTTTTCACCATCTAAATCACTCACTTCAAGGCCTTTGAGAATATAGGTGCTCATAGTATGAGGGACACCCATTGTGTCAAGAGTAATCTTTGCTCTATCACCATTTACTCCCAATTTTCGCATTATGTCTTCAGTGCAAAAGGATACACTACTGCCCGGGTCAAGGAAAGCATATGTTTCCAAGGCTATACCACTATTCTTAGCCTTTACCAATACTGGGATTATTGCCATAGTACACTCACTGTTACCGGCCCCTGTTTGACCACTCAATTCTTTGTTCACATTTACACATGCGGTGGTGGCTTTCTGGTTGCCATATTTATTTGGCGATACGTCTTCTGTTTGTTGACAACTCCGTCTGTAATTATCATCATGTAAGATAGTGGGGTGATGTCCTTTACACTGTATGCATACTGCCTTAGAGCGACAATTCTTGCTTTGATGTCCTGGCTTTAAACAGCCAAAACAAACTCCTTTATTTCTTAAGAAATTTAACTTGACATCACGAGATTCTTTTGTCAAGTTATCGCATTTTTCCATACTATGACTGGCACTTTTGCAATAAGCACACGGTTTCTCAAATGCTACATGTATCTTAGTGTACTGGCCAGTGACTCTTGTCTCATTCTGAGCTTGGTCTCCTACTGAACCACCTTGAATTGGTCCACCGCATTCAGCTTTGGTCTCTGGTTTAACATTTGTGACATCTGTTGCAAAGCTTCCCCTTGTTTTCTTAGATTGTGTCCGTATCTTTGAGCCTTTACCTGAATTGCTTTCATCGTGCAAAGCCTTCCTTCCATATAATGGGTCGTTTGCCTGTTCAGATTCGGCTTTCACAAAGTCCACCAATTTTTTGAAAGTGACTGGCTTCCCATTCTGCCTAGCATCATATACTCGGCTTCTCCATTTCCCGTGAAGATAGTATGGAAGCTTACCAACAAGTACTTTCATGTGGTCATGATATTCCATTGACTGCATGGCTTCAATGCTTTGTGTTGCGTACTCGCACTCACGCAGAAATATGGCAAACTCATCAAGTGCTTTAATAACTTGATAACTGGCCAGTTTTTTGCCTTTTCTAGATGTGCGCTAGCAATCATTTGTACATCACCATACCTTCTCTCAAGCTCTTTACATGCGGCTGGATATCCTTGTTCTGCATCGAGATAACTGTAACCTGTTACTATATTGTTTGCCTCCCCATAGGTGTACTGCTCGAGGTAGTTCATTTTCTCTTCAATGTCATCAGTAACCAATCCTATTCTAGCATTAAATTGGCGAACAAATTTTTTATATTCTATACAGTTGCCTCCAAATTTCTTGATGTCTGACTGTGGCTTTTTCAATTCTTTCACCACCGCCAGAATACCTTCGTTAGACGACCGACTACCTGCAGCAGAGGGCCCATAGCTAGCATCACCCACGTGCTCAAAACCGCAACGCAACCCACGCGCATCGCGCACACAGGTCCCACCGACATCACCATCAATATGTGCAGGAAGTACTGCAGCCGGACTCAATACTGGCCCTATTACACTTTCCTAAACTAGTGTCCCTATTAGAACTAAACATATTATCAACAACTCCAATGTAACTAGGTGTTTTATACATACGGTTTGACTGACATCTAGATAGCTGCTCAATATGTGCTACATCACTTTGCCTTTGAGAAATGTCAATGTCATGCAATCTTTGATCTTGCTCGAATTAATTAGTTTCTAACTCAACCAGAACCTTTCGTCGTGCATCTGACACAGCGATTTCGGTTTCCAACTCCAACTCTTCTTCTCTTATTTTGAGTTGCATCTTTGCTTGCTCTTCTTTCAATCTACGTTGCAGTCTAGCTTGATCTTCTTGTCTCCTTGCATTCTCTGCTTCAATTCTAAGCTGTAGAATCGCTTGTTCTTCTACAATTTGAAGTTGTTCAATCGCCTGTCTTTCCCGTTCTAATGCTTGTTTTTGCTTCAACTTTGCTACTCTAGCTAACAGTTCAGCCTTTCTTTGATCCTCTTTAGCTCTTGCCATGGTCAATGAGCTCAAGCGTGTTGAGGTACTGCTAGTATGGGATTTCTGTGAATGACTTGAAGGTGTTTTACTAGTTTGTGAAGCGCTGTCCTCTGGCCTCACATTTGCATCAAGCAATCTTCGCGCTTCACACTCTTCACGTCTTATCCATGCCCTTGCACTGGCTCCCACACTTTCAAAATGTTCACTTTGTGGTCTGAACCAACCTTCATGTTTAAGTTGGTCCTCTGGTGATAACAGTTGCTTGTATTCATCGTGGGTAATGAGGAATTCCTCGTATAACACCATCCACTTGGTATAGGCTTGCCTTAATGATTTCAAGTCCGTCAGTGGGTCTCTCATTAAAACCAGGATAGAATCAGTTTCTTTATTCAGCTGCTTACATATAGAAGTGCAGTTCCTTTGTTTGAACTCAGTGAAATATTCTTTGGCCCTTTCAGTTTGCACTCTCGTTCGCTTAGCAAACATTTCCTCCATCTTGTCAGTTTGCAGTTGACTTATCCGTAATTACTAGTTGTGTATCAGGTGTATTGCTGACTGAGATTACTATCAACCAACACTTCAGTACACTTAACACGTATGTCAAAGAATAACTGCCCTGGAAACTCAACGGATGTTGATCAAATACGTCAATGAAAATGTAGCGTCTATAAACCCATATTCCAGAGCCTTGTGTCTTCTACTGGTAGCTCATGAAAATGTGTATAGATACATATGGCGATTAGCTGGGTCACTCCGTCGTCAATGCGTCTTCCTCACAATAATGAAACAAATGTCCGTAATGATTGATGACAATTTATTTCCTTTAAGTATAGCTCAGTACAACCAAACTTTGCAATGAAGTACGAGTACACATATGATGAACGATTGACTGAAATAGCAAATAAATAAAAGAAACAATAAATATCATGTCTCATCTCTACACTAACACATTTTGGCATTATAAATTGACAATGAGTAGTAGACTGACAGCGCCATCTAGTGGCGAAACAACTGACGTAATGCAGCAAAAAAATATATGCAAGAAATCTATCACTAACATATCAAATAAGCACTTAGAAATCACTAGACATGCGTAATCTATGAAAATATCATGAGCAAGAATAATGTGAAATCATCAAAGTAAAGTACTAAGTGAACAGGGTTTAAAAGCACATGTTATTGCATCATCGGTAGATACACATTTCATGCCCTAACGCAAATACATGAATTATCACTCAAAAACGCAATCAAATGTTTCATACCGTATTTGTAGATCTTCCCAAGCACAATCGACCTCAGTATAGTCGTATTTCGGTAGTTTCTGTGTTCATTGAATACGATTTGACGTAAAAGTATTTGAAGATCAATAACTTTACCAGCTCTCAGGCAGCAGATAGCGTCTGTGAGTTCGTTATCTACTACCTCCAAAACAAAGTAATAAATGTAACTCGAACTGTAGGTGGCGCTATACCGTCAGCTAACAAAAGGCACATTTAAGTGAAATATAAGGTCGGGCTATAGAGCCTAAAATAACATTTCGGTGACAATGACTAAGTAAAAATGATAAAGCAGAACTTTGGCCATAACATTCCGGCCCCTTAATTGTGAAGATCCTGTCGTAACAATTACACAAAACTTTATAAATGCCAAATTCTAAAATTCTTCTAAACTAAGGTGTTTCTATGGGTCAGCATCAAGTCCCACAAATAGTAAGCCATGCACAAGCAGAAAAGTGACATCAACCATGCAATCCATGTACGCGAACCACACAGACACGCCGCAATCATGCTCACGGTAGGCAATACACATACCATCCAACCCAATAACTACAAAGCCGGCCATCAAATTCAGATACTTTATGGCAGTGGCTTGGAATTGTCAGACACACCTTCTACATCTACTTCCAAAAGTAAGCACAGTTTGTCAACGGGTCACAATAAAACCTTTCCGATCCTTCGTTATCTCAATAACTTTGCCCATTGGCCATGCATTGCTTGGGACGGAATTATCTGCAATCAAGACAATGTCTCCTACGGCAAGATTCCTTTTAGGTTGTAACCATTTTTGTCTTTCTTGAAGCAGCGGCAAGTATTCCCTCAACCATCTTTTCCAAAACATATCCGCCAGATACTGAACTTGGCGCCATCTACGTCTTGCGTAGATATCATTTCTATCAAAGACTCCAGGTGGTAAGTTTTGGTAAGATTGAAGCAACAATAAGTGGTTAGGTGTCAAGGCTTCTAAGTCATTGGGATCTTCGGATACTGTTGAAATAGGACGTCCATTTATTATGGACTCAACCTCGCAAAGGAGTGTCTGGAGTGCCTCGTCATCCAGGTGAATTGTTTGCTCCTTAAAGAGAGAAAACAAAATTTTCCTTATGGTTCTGATTTGCCTTTCCCATATTCCTCCAAAATGAGAGCCAGCTGGCGGATTAAATTTCCAGTCTATGTCTACCTGGTGGAGTGCACTACTAATCTTTGTATGGTTCCACCTATCGATTTCTGCCTGCAGTTCACGCTTTGCACCAACAAGATTCGTACCGTTATCTGACCGAACAGATTTGACATTGCCCCTCCTAGCTTTAAATCTTCTAAAGGCATTAATGCAGGAGTCTGTATCCAGTGAATGAGCAATTTCCAAATGAACTGCTCGAGAGGCCATACATGTAAATATTACTCCAGATCTTTTGACTGTACCACGGCCCCGTTTGACTTCAAGTGGTCCGATGTAGTCGACACCAGTGTGAGTAAAAGGTGGGTGATCTGGTGTTATCCGCTCTATAGGCAAGTCTGTCATCTTCTGCTCACCCACTTTAGCTCTGTAACTTTGACAGGTAACACAGTTAGACACTATCTTTCTGACCATTGCATTGGCACACATGATCCAGTACTTATGTCGTAGTCTACCAAGGTGTCCCACGCCTTTGTGTACATCTTCTAAAATAAAGTTTGACACTGGGGAATCTTTAAGAAGAATAACTGGGTGCTTTGCACTGTATGATAATATTGAACGCGCTAGGCGTCCACCAACTCTTATGAGCCCGTCTTCCATCATTGGGTCTAGTTTGTACAAACGACTAGTACGTTTAATTCTTGGTGATCTGACGTAATGCTACTATCTCTCAGAAAAATGCTGGCATGATATAGCCACATACATTTTTCTGCGCTCTCAAATTATCTATGTAGATATACTCATTTACTGCTTCTTGCATCACATGCTGCCATCTTTAGCTTTCTCATCTGTCATCACCATTTGTCTCTCTCTTCTGGATCCATTTCATCTTTACTTAAGGCTTGTTTGTACTCTTTACGTTTAGCAACCCATCTTTGCAGGTTACATTTGGCCATCAAAATCCAGGCAACTGATTTCTTCAGTTTCATCCAACTGGAGAAGCGTGCAAAGAGTCCATCGATTTCTGTCTCTGGTCCTTGTCCTTTGAGAATCGCAGAGTTAGCTTCTCTTTTAACCTCAGGATCCCCATCTATGATCGTCATAGGTATTGCATTACATTTAGGCCATTCTAATTCAGGTCTCCAAAGAAAGTCCGGACCATTTAGCCATCTCTCTCTACGTATGGAGTCATTCACCTTGAGACCTCTGGAAGCGTCATCTGCTGGGTTGGACTTTGTGTCCACGTACTTCCATTGTGACATCTGTGAGCCCTCTCTAATGGTGTTAACACGATTAGCTACAAAGGTATGAAAGCGGGTACTTTCATTTGCACAGTAGCGAATGACGGACATGCTGTCTGTCCAGAAGAATGTTTCACTGAATTTGAAGTCTAGCTCTCTCTGTATCATTTTATTCATGCGTACCGAAATAGTGGCTGCAGACAGTTCCATGCGAGGGATAGTTACTTTCTTCAGCGGTGCAACCCTAGACTTACCAACCAAGAGGGCACAATGAATCTTTCCTATCTCATTTACTAGGCGTAGATATGACACAGTGCCATAGCCAAGCTCGCTGGCATCCGAGAAGTTGTGGATCTGGCAGGACATTATCTTACCAAAACTTGCAGGCTTGAAACACCTAGGTACCGAGATTGTCTCCAGCTGTGGCAGGTCTGCTACCCATCTGTGCCATTTCTGCAGGTCTTTAGGTCCAATATCATCATCCCACCCCATACCACGATGACACAAGTTTTGTAGGATGATCTTGCCAGGTAATACAAAAGGAGCAGCTAGTCCTATAGGATCGTAAATAGAGCTTATTACTGACAATATACCTCGTCTTGTAGATGGACGCTCTTGAATGTCTATCCCAAATCCTAGCGTATCAGATTCAACATTCCAATACACACCAAGAGCACGCTGGGTGGGGAGATCATCATAACTCAAATTCAACTGCTTCACATTTTTAGCTTGACTGTCTACAGGAATTGATTTCAAGACCGTATGACTGTTGGTAATCCACTTGGTTAAGTTGAATCCTCCTTTGCGGCAGATACTTATCAGGTCTTGTACAACGGATATTGCCTTCGTCTCGGTATCACAGGATTTGAGGCAGTCATCTACGTAAAAGTTCTTTAGAACAGTATCAATGATTTCCGGCTTGAATTCATCCTTATTAGCTGTAGCAGTCTTGCGTAGCGCTGTATTCGAACAGCTTGGTGACGATACTGCACCAAATAAATGAACCATCATTTTATATACTTCAGGTTTTCTATCAAGTTCGCCATTTGGCCACCAATAAAAACGCAGACAGTCGCTGTCATGTATTGGGACCTTTACTTGATGAAACATAGCCTCTACGTCTGCCATAAGGGCTACTGGTTCTTGCCTGAACCGCAAGAGAACACCAAGTAGGTTGTTAGTCAGATCAGGTCCTTGTAGTAACAAGTCGTTTAAGGATACACCGCACCATTTCGCAGAACAATCGAAGACTACTCGTATCTTGTCTGGTTTCTTAGGGTGGTATACCCCATGGTGAGGTATATACCAGACTCTACCGTCATCTCTATCAAGCACCTCCTGCGGAACCTGAACAGCATAATGCTTTTGAATAATATCCGACATAAACTTTGTGTAGTCAGCATGAAACTTGGGTTCTTTCCTTATTCTCCTTTCAAGTCCTTTAAGTCTCTGCATGGCATAGTCTTTATTATTAGGTAGCCTTGCATCGTCCTTACGAAATGGCAAACCAATCTCATAGTGTCCATCCACATAGCGCATAGAGCTATCTACTTTCTCAATAAACGCTTTGTCCTCTTGAGAGTGTTCTCTCCTATCGTTGATAGAGTGTTCTGGAAAGTCCATGTTGATAGAGCTTCTGACCAATTTATCTAACTGCCTTAGTTCCTCTATCTCTTGTATGGCAATGATTTCAGCTTTATTGACAGTCAAACTATTTTGAACTGTGTCAATCTTATTGTCACCTTCACCACGGACAACATTCCATGCCACCCATCCCAAGAGAGTTCTTGAAGCATGAGGACTCCCACGTGGTCCTGTCAATATTTCTAGTGGAGTATATGCATCGGGTACTCCATTTCCAATAAGTAATCCCACATCCGCGTTCACCTTAGGCAGATCCAGGGCACACATATGTGGCCATTTAGTAACATCTTCTGTAGTAGGCATGTGGTGGCGCGAAACAGGCATTTTGTGTTTAGTGTAGACTTTTGGTAGCTTCACTGTGTTTTCACCACCTAAATCACTCACTTCAAGGCCTTTGAGAATATAGGTGCTCATAGTATGAGGGACACCCATTGTGTCAAGAGTAATCTTTGCTCTATCACCATTTACTCCCAATTTTCGCATTATGTCTTCAGTGCAAAAGGATACACTACTGCCCGGGTCAAGGAAAGCATATGTTTCCAAGGCTATACCACTATTCTTAGCCTTTACCAATACTGGGATTATTGCCATAGTACACTCACTGTTACCGGCCCCTGTTTGACCACTCAATTCTTTGTTCACATTTACACATGCGGTAGTGGCTTTCTGGTTGCCATATTTATTTGGCGATACGTCTTCTGTTTGTTGACAACTCCGTCTGTAATTATCATCATGTAAGATAGTGGGGTGATGTCCTTTACACTGTATGCATACTGCCTTAGAGCGACAATTCTTGCTTTGATGTCCTGGCTTTAAACAGCCAAAACAAACTCCTTTATTTCTTAAGAAATTTAACTTGACATCACGAGATTCTTTTGTCAAGTTATCGCATTTTTCCATAATATGACTGGCACTTTTGCAATAAGCACACGGTTTCTCAAATGCTACATGTATCTTAGTGTACTGGCCAGTGACTCTTGTCTCATTCTGAGCTTGGTCTCCTACTGAACCACCTTGAATTGGTCCACCGCATTCAGCTTTGGTCTCTGGTTTAACATTTGTGACATCTGTTGCAAAGCTTCCCCTTGTTTTCTTAGATTGTGTCCGTATCTTTGAGCCTTTACCTGAATTGCTTTCATTGTGCAAAGCCTTCCTTCCATATAATGGGTCGTTTGCCTGTTCAGATTCGGCTTTCACAAAGTCCACCAATTTTTTGAAAGTGACTGGCTTCCCATTCTGCCTAGCATCATATACTCGGCTTCTCCATTTCCCGTGAAGATAGTATGGAAGCTTACCAACAAGTACTTTCATGTGGTCATGATATTCCATTGACTGCATGGCTTCAATGCTTTGTGTTGCGTACTCGCACTCACGCAGAAATATGGCAAACTCATCAAGTGCTTTAGCATCGTCTGCTTTGATAACTGGCCAGTTTTTTGCCTTTTCTAGATATGCGCTAGCAATCATTTGTACATCACCATACCTTCTCTCAAGCTCTTTACATGCGGCTGGATATCCTTGTTCTGCATCGAGATAACTGTAACCTGTTACTATCTTGTTTGCCTCCCCATAAGTGTACTGCTCGAGGTAGTTCATTTTCTCTTCAATGTCATCAGTAACCAATCCTATTCTAGCATTAAACTGGCGAACAAATTTTTTATATTCTATACAGTTGCCTCCAAATTTCTTGATGTCAGACTGTGGCTTTTTCAATTCTTTCACCACCGCCAGAATATCTTCATTAGACGACCGACTACCTGCAGCAGAGGGCCCATAGCTAGCATCACCCACGCGCTCAAAACCGCAACGCAACCCACGCGCATCGCGCACACAGGTCCCACCGACATCACCATCAATATGTGCAGGAAGTACTGCAGTCGGACTCAATACTGGCCCAATATTACACTCTCCTAAACTAGTGTCCTTATTAGAACTAAACATATTATCAACAACCCCAATATAACTAGGTGTTTTATACATACGGTTTGACTGACATCTAGATAGCTGCTCATTATGTGCTACATCACTTTGCCTTTGAGAAATGTCAATGTCATGCAATCTTTGATCTTGCTCGAATTCATTAGTTTCTAACTCAACCAGAACCTTTCGTCGTGCATCTGACACAGCGATTTCGGTTTCCAACTCCAACTCTTCTTCTCTTATTTTGAGTTGCATCTTTGCTTGCTCTTCTTTCATTCTACGTTGCAGTCTAGCTTGATCTTCTTGTCTCCTTGCATTCTCTGCTTCAATTCTAAGCTGTAGAATCGCTTGTTCTTCTTCAATTTGAAGTTGTTCAATCGCCTGTCTTTCCCGTTCTAATGCTTGTTTTTGCTTCAACTTTGCTACTCTAGCTAACAGTTCAGCCTTTCTTTGATCCTCTTTAGCTCTTGCCATGGTCAATGAGCTCAAGCGTGTTGAGGTACTGCTAGTATGGGATTTCTGTGAATGACTTGAAGGTGTTTTACTAGTTTGTGAAACGCTGTCCTCTGGCCTCACATTTGCATCAAGCAATCTTCGCGCTTCACACTCTTCACGTCTTATCCATGCCCTTGCACTGGCTCCCACACTTTCAAAATGTTCACTTTGTGGTCTGAACCAACCTTCATGTTTAAGTTGGTCCTCTGGTGATAACAGTTGCTTGTATTCATCGTGGGTAATGAGGAATTCCTCGTATAACACCATCCACTTGGTATAGGCTTGCCTTAATGATTTCAAGTCCGTCAGTGGGTCTCTCATTAAAACCAGGATAGAATCAGTTTCTTTATTAAGCTGCTT